TCCACCACTCCTCAGCGTAGGTACTGACATCCCTGAGCGCGCGGGAGCGCGCGGGCGATTTTTTATTTAATGACGGGACATTATTTCATCCCCAGTGTGACGCCGCCGACACGCACGGAGTCGGAGACGAAGAGCGGGCCCTCCACGACGACCATGTGAAGGCCGTGTGAAGGTTGTGAAAATAAAACTCGCTTTCAACGCTGGGCACGCTGCGAAGAGAGCGGAGTTACGCCGAGAGGCGAAAACAAAAGTCCCTGGCACACAGGAAAAGAATTTCACAACGACGGCAAGACTCCTGCGTGAAAAATGACGAAAAATTCACGATTCGCAGACAGGTTGATAAGAAACAAGAACCTCGCATACGACGACAGTGAGGGTGTGAGAGACAGAAGGGAAATTCACACTGAATTTCACGGATTCATTGCTGAGATGCTACATGCTTCTGCAGTGCGGAGAGTGCAGACTCGCGTCGCAGATTCGCTCAGGGACCTCGGACGCAGCCGGCGCGTGAGAATTTGCACATGTGCCCGAAGCTGCCGGCGCGAGGGGCAAGCAATGGTCCAATGGTCCGAGAAGAAGGGTAACGCAAGTAGTGCAGCGCTTGTGACTTGACCAGGACCCCCGCCGCGCCTAGATAGCTACTTCATCCTCGAGACCCAGCGGCCATCTGTCCGGCGAAGTCGCAGGATTAGAGGGGCGTGGTGGGGCTCGCTCTCCCGAGAGGGGCGAGCACACCTGCAGCCGCCAGCGAGGAGGTCTGCATTCGTAGTAATTTTGCTCACGCGGCCGCGGATCGTGCAGGTCTCGTCGGCGCGGTGCCGCCGCTCGTCGCCGGCGCGGTGCAGCAGCTCGTCGCTAAGTCCGCCTGCGGTTTGTGTCGCGGACAATGGGCTAACGCCGAAGGGGATGAAAGGCATTGATGAGTCAAAGCTTGAAGGCAATGCGCCGGCGTTAGCCCACACAGCAGCAGGCGTTGCTGCTGTGCCACAGTGCTTCGTGTCACGGGAGACGCTGCATTCAGGCTGGTCCGTATCGGCGGGAAATCGGATGGCTAGCGCATGCGAGCTGAGGAGCGCGCACATTGGATTGGAGGAGCGCCGGTCCGTGCGGAGCGACGACGACAAGGAGTTGTTCTCCGTTATTTTTTTTCGCTTTATCACAAGCAGTCCAATCTCAAAACTTTAAACTCACCGTACCGCCCCGTCCCCCGCCGCCTCCCTCCTCCCCCCCCCGTGCACACACCTCCCCCCCCTGCCTGCTGCCACCTTCCCTCCGCCGTTTGACCCGCCGCCCGAAATCCGCTTCCGCTTCGCCGTGTGACCCGCCTCCCCGCACCCCGGCGGCCGCCTCCCGGCCCCCTACCGTTCACCGCCGAACCGCAGCCCCTTACGGCTGTTTTTGGTATAAATTCGCTCCTCATCGCAAACCCTGTCAGCAGAGTCCTCCTACGGGAATGTACGAACACCTTCTTTTAGCTTACTGGGGAGAGAGAGAGACATACACACTGGGAGAAAAGTGAGAGGGGGTTGTGTTCCACGGCCCAGATTTAGTCCAGCCCTCGTACAGTCATAGAGTCGCGACGGTGCCTCTCACCGCCACAGGTTCGAGCGTGGTGGACCTCCAGCATGATTGTTGACTGTCAAGCATTTGAGCATCGCTCTCGTGGCTGCCTGTGCTGTCTGCGCATCAGCAGAAGATTTCACGCCTGGCGATGAATCCTACTTGGAGGCGATGGCTTCAGTTGTCAAGGCAGTGGCGTACCCGGCCATAAAATACGGCAAACTGTGGGGCAAATTCTACAAAGGCAACAAATACAAGACCTACTCCAAAGACGATATCATCAATTCCCTCACGAACCAACTGTGCCTGCAAAATGTGGTGGCCAGCTGGCGGTGCTCTCGCAGCTTAGTCTGCTACGGTCGCTTTCGGCTGGCCTTGCAGTGCACCTGCAGTCATGGCCCCGGCCAAGTCAGCGCCGGATTGTCAGCATCGGTTTCGCTCCAGATATCATTGGCGGCTGCTGTGGCGGTAGCCAGAGGATTCGACGAAACTCGCTTCGATCAGATGGTTTTTTATGTTATTGCCGGTGATACGCTGACCGAGGGGGTCAAATCTGTGGCAGGGACTGCTGCATCGAAATCATTCGAAAAATTCATCTTCAGTGGTATCGGAGGCAAAAGTCAAGGTGCTTCACGATGTCATGTGGCCCATCGTCGGTCAAAAATTATGACTATCAACTGCGAGGTATGATCAATCTTGCCAGCTTGGTCCCCGGCGTTGGGAGCGCCGCAGTTGCCTTCGTAGCCGATGGTGGCATGTGCAAGTATACGGCGAAACATATGGACTGGCAGGTCTTCGAAGGCTCGTGCTGTGACAAGAAAGGTAAACTCTGGAACTCTGGCTTGAGGATGATCTGAAGATATCTGATGAGGAAAGCCGTGGGATCGTTGAGAAGGGTTGCGGTTGGGATTGGGGCTCCCTTTGCGAATGAAAGAGCGCGCGATGACATGTCAACGAACAACGATCTGGTCGGCAGCGGCAAGCTGAGGAAGGGCCCGTCAACTTAGGGTACTCTGAGGGCCGGATTTTTTAAGACCTTTTAAGAAACGAGGAGGTTTGGGGGCTCAAATTGTCATTTAAGAGATTGCAGGCACGGGGGGTCCCTCTTTTAAGACCGTTTAAGAAAATCGGCCTCGCCGGCATGCGTCGCTGGGTTCCGCGCCGTTTTCTCCAATTGTCCAATACTGCCGTTATTAGGCACAAACCCGCCTCTGAAGACACATCTGTAAGTCTGGTGCACTGGCAGGAGCCATACTCGCATAGGGGACGCGTGCCAGCTGACTGTAGCCAGCTACCCGGCCTCCGGCGTCTACTGGGGAGCCTCCCGGACCATCGACCTCGGGAGCTCTCACGCACCGTTTAAGCGTTTAAGGCCGTTTAAGGAATCGGCGGCCCACAGGCAGCTCTTAAAACCGACCTAGGCCGGTTTTAAGCCGTTTAAGCCGCAGCGCCCCAGGGCCCACCCTTTTAAGCCTAGGGGTCCCCTAAGCCCGTCAAAGAAACTGCTTTCCGGCTTGCGCAACCTCACCCACTATTCCGACATCTAAAACGCCCACATATAGTTAGAGGCTGCGCAGGCCGTCCCGTTTGCATGTTTGCATAAAACACGCCGCGGGCCAATGTATATGACTAGTTGCAAATACGGGTGGTGTGGAAATGACCACTTTTGATGTTTTTTGCCGTGTTGCTCCCAGCGCCCTCGCCCGCGCTCCCTGAGGCCATGGCTGGTGCTACTAGTATGGGGGGCTACCTGGATACCGCGAGAGCGACCCAACTCGTCGACATCGTCCGATGATGGTGCCTCAAAGTCAGCCACCGGAGGCTATCGTCGCGTCGAGCCGGCGGTGGCCGTGACATGTGGTTCCACCACCCCTCGCAGGCTTTGCCTCTGACCGCCACCGTTCCCGGGCTGTCTAATGGGATGGAAAGGAAGGCTGGGCGAGCGTATAGAAGCGTGCTCGACCTCGTCGTGGCAACCTGCACGGCAGCGCTGGCAGGCGCGATGAGCGTCGTGCCACCTGCACCCGAGAGAGACGCACACCCACCGGGGAAGGGGCGCTTGGGAGCGTGGGCGTGGGCGGGGGCGGGGGCGCGCAGCGCGCGGCGCGCGCGTGCGGGCAACAGAGGGTAGGGGTGGGGAAGACGGCGAGGAGGGGGCGGCGGCGGCGGCGGCGGCAGCGCGCGCGCGGCGCGCGCGACGGAGGGGCGGAGCAGCGACCGCTGGTGCGGTCGCTGCTCCGTCTGTGAGAGACGCGCGCTCTGCCGCTGCAGAGCGCGTCAAGGCAAGGGGCATGCGTGGCGGCGCGGGACGCGCGGCGGCGGCGGCGAGCAGCCGAGCGCTCCGTGAGCGGTGAGGCGGCCGGGCGAGGGCGCGGCGGGTGACGGGGCACACCCGGCCGTCGCTTTTTGAGCGACGCCTGCGGCACGCCTGCGCAGGGGCCGCAGGGCGGTCAGTTGTGGGGCGAGGCGGTGCCGGCCGCGGGCCGGGTGCAAGGCGCCGGCCTCGGCGCCGCCTCGGCGCGCCGCACGGGCGCGGCGAGCCTCTGAGCGGGAGCCGAAGGTTTGCTGCGGTGGTGGGAGGGAGGCGGTGGGTGGTGGTGGGGTGGTTTGACATTGCCGCAGAGGCCGTCCCTGCTGTGAACAGCAAAACGGGACAGTATTGCAAGCCGGGTTAAGGTTGCGCTCCCGGCCCAGGGTGGATAATTTGGCGTACTGAGTGCTCGTGCGTCCAGGGGCCCTAAATGGCCTTGTGATGCCATATGTGATGCCTAACTTGTGAGCGCCTTTAAAACCAGTATGATGGCTTGCAAGGGCATTTTCTCGATGAGGTGGGCTCTGAGCACTTGACAGACTCGCCACGATTCTCCAGATTTCCCCCCTCGAAACCCGCCCCTTTTATTTCGTCCGGTCATATTGCGGACGGCGCGGGTTTGCTTGGATTACAAAAGATATCCGGCGTCTACAAAAGATATCCGAGATCGTATGGAACTGACCACAGGGTTTGCGGCGATCACTTAACCACGGGACTTGGGAGGCGACACGCAATCTAGCCGGGGAGCGGTGTGTGTGTGTGTGTGTGTGTGTGTTTGTATGTGGTGTGTGTGTGTGTGTGTGTGCGTGTGTGTGTGTGTGTGTGTCGCTGTGTGTGTGTCTGTCGTCTGTCCTGTCTACTGACCCCGCAGCGCAGCCCATGTGATCGTGGCTCAGTCCCTCTCTTCACTCTTGGCAGAGCGCTGGGCCCCTGGGCCCGCACTCTCTTGTGAGAGCGCACCCACAGGCTGCGCGCACCCGGCGTGCAGGGGGCGTGCCCCGTTCTCGAGGGTGCCTTGTGTGTGTCATGTGTCAACACGCTTTAGCCTTTGTCTTGTGAGAGGTGGAACCGTTACACAAATAAACACATCCTTCTTTGTGTGTGTGGTTGTTTGGGACATCACGAGAGGGACATTTAGATGAAAAAGAAAGAAAGCAAAAGCGAAAACCACACAATACGACTTTCGTATCCCATTTATGATTTAAAGGGGGTCGGAGGGATGGCGGATGCTGGGATGGGGGTTGGGGGAGAGACCGCACACATTTCTTCAAGCCATCCTCCCGCTCGACCTCGAGGCGTCAGAACGACGCTCCACCTGCGCCACCGACTGCTCCGCCCCGACGGCCCCTCTACCCGCCCACTGCCAAAGCTCAGACTCGCTGCGCCACCGCGGCCACTCCTCTGCCGCCGCAACTGGCGCTGTCGCGCTGGAGAAGCGGCAACCAACGTTCGGCACCACGACCCGACGCGACGGTTCGGCGGGCGGCGACGCTGCGGGCAGAGAGGAGCCGGCAGAGAGGGCGGCTCCGAGTCTCGCTAGGCAGCCATAGAGCCCGCCTACAGGAAGGTGCCGAGAAGCTTCTAGCAAGCTTCTGAAGAAACCGAGGCTCGCGCAGCTGTTGAGCCCACCGCCGCGCCCCGTCGCCACGGCGAAGCAGCTGCCGCCCAACACAGCTCCAACGCAAGGGCCCAACGCGTAGGTGCGCGCGCCGGAAAGCGCCGCCGTGCCGCCTCCCGAGAGCACGATTGCCGCTATTCTTGGCGCGGCGGACATCGCCGGATTCAGCGCCGCGTTGGTCGATCCGAAAGCGAGACCGAGGGCGGAGATCAGGACGCCTGTGAGCAATGATTGATTAATGATCAATTAACTGAGGAGATCAGGACGCATGGCGTCGACGGCGCAGCGAGGGGGCACGCATCAGGGGAAGGTGGGAACAGGGCAAGGTCGGAAACGCACCGACGAGGCCGGCCGAGCCGCGGCGAGAGACGGCACCCGCCTCGACGCCGTCTCCGATGGCGAGACACGCCTATAGGGAGGCAAGGGTCCGAGCAGGTCGGGGCGAAAGCTCCACCGACACCTCTGCGGGGGGGTATAAACTCACAGAGAAAAGAAGCGCAGTGACTGCCACCTCTGCGAAGAAGTGGGCGGGCGGCGGCGGAAGACCCGCGGGCGGCAGGAGTGGCGCTATGGTGAGTGCCGCCGCCGACGCGCCGGCGATCTGCGAGGCGATGTACGGCAGCCAGTCCGATCTCGGCAGGGTTCCTCCGACAGTCTGGGCGCACGTGATCGCCGGATTGAAGTGGGCTCCTGAGATTGTGGCGAAGGAAAGGACGGCGGAGCCGACCACGCCGCCCATGAGCAGCGACGTGCTCGTCGGCGAGAGGGCTGCGGCGGAGGCCGCGCTGGCGGCGAGGACCAGGATGCCCGAGCCGACCGCCTCTGCAAGGCAACGAGTGCGCAGGTCCTTCCGGTTCCGGTGGCACGCTGGTGGCCTGTCAGCGCGGACGCGGAGCAGGAGAGAGCGCCGATCGCGGCGGCGGAGCGGAAAGGACGCAGCTGGCTCGGTCTCATGTTCGCTCACATCCTGCATGTTCTGCTTGTTGTCCGTTGAAGCTTCAGGTACGATCACTGGCGGCGGAGACCATGGCAAGTCTTCCTCGAGGGAGACCGTGTCAGTGGGAGTTGGCGTGTGAGGCACGTGCGGAGTTGGACGAGCAACGAGTGTGACGCTCACAGGGGCCAGGCTGGCGATAGCGAGGGCCGCCATTTGGAATGCTGTGGATGGTTGCGACCTTGACGATCGATTGACGTTCCAAAATGTAACAAGTCCGGCGAGAAGAATTTTGACCTTTTCGGCTCGCACGGGAAAAGAATTCTACGTACCAGCCTCTCTCACAGCACACTGGCACGACAAGGGCGCAGACTGGCGCGGACTGGCACACACACCGGCACACCGGGAAAAGAATTTCACAGCCGCTCTCTCACAGGGAAGAAAAACCCACCTGTACCTCCGCTTTTGGGTGGAGGTGCACGGAGCACGCGCTGCTGACGGCGCTCGCCGGCGTTTGCGGCGCTATGGCGCTCGCGGCGCGCTACCCCTAGTCTAGCGGGAATTTTCGGTGTATTTGTTGTTTTGTCCGTGAATGATCGCCCAATATCGCCTAATATCGCCTAATATCGCGCAATATCGCGCAATATCGCGCAATATCGCGCAATATTGCGCAATATGTCGCGCAATATCGCGCACCCTCGCGCACGCACGCGCGCACCCTCGCGCACCCTCGCGCACCCTCGCCCCGGGCGGCGGCG